CTTTGCACTGGATCTGGACCATAGGGCTCCTTGCAGGCCGGATCCAGCCCAGGGCACAGGGTAGTTGTGGGGGTGGCGGTGGCTGCAGTGGCACTGGTGAGGCTGGCAGGATTAATGGTGGTTGTGGTGGGGCTGGAGGGGGAGGTGGTGGCAGGGATTGCGGCAGGGGCTGGCTCAGGTAGGACAAGCAGCTACAGGGTGAATGGGGCTGAATCTGCACAAGCATCACTCTTCCTCCTGCCACCAAAGGCCACGTCTGCCAGGGACCAGGATTCTCCAGCAAGTCCTTTCCCCCCAGCCACACCCCCAACCCATGGGGGCTGTAAGGATCCAGCTCCGGGGCTATATATTTGACACCTCTGATGTAGAGTATACCAACTTGCTATTTCTGCAAGCTAAAGGAGCTGCTCTAGTAGCTAAAGAAAACGACTCATGCTGTCAGGAGGGGGTCACACCTTCCTACCCAACATGGGGTAGTTTCTACCGGGACAGCTCCAGAGACTGCACTGCAGTCCTCTGGCTTAAGCCTCGTGCGTGAGTGCAAGGAGCCGATCCAGTAGGTCTTGCTGTCCCCATGGAGACAGTAGCATCTCTGTGAGTCCTGGAGCTACCATATGTGCATGACCGGAAGGACATTAACCCCATCCCCTTTCTCCCTCCAGGCCTGGTGGAACCAGCACACAACTGTTTCTGCTGCTTCTCCAGAGGAAGAATTAGGTGGGAGCACTAACACTGGGACAGTAGGTGTCTGGCCCTTGGGAGAAGGACCTGTGGTACCATGGAGACAGCCTGGAGGCAGGCCTGAAGCTCAGCCGCAGAGGTACCCTATACATATGGGCCAGGCAGCCCCTTCGTGCCTCCCGTGCGTGGAACATGATGGAGCTTGATAACACCAGCCTGGCCAGCGGGCTGGGCTTGTGCTTCCGCAGCATGAACATCAGCCAGAACAAGAAGATCATTGCCTCGCCATGGTTCTCCACCATCTTTGGCACCGTTGGCCTCTCCTCCAACCTCTTTGCCCTCTGTGTCTTGATCAGCTCCTCCAGAAAGATGCACAGTCGCTCCCGCTCCTCCTTCCTCGTCTTCCTCTGTGGCCTGGTGGTGACAGACTTCATGGGCCTGTTGGTGACTGGCTCCATCATCATCTCTTACCACTTCACCAAATTTGACTGGATGGAGGTTGACCCCAGTTGCTACCTCTGCAACTTCCTGGGCTTCTCCATGGTCTTCTTTGGCCAGTGCCCCCTGCTCCTGGGTGCCACCATGGCTGGTGAGCGCTTCTTTGGCATCAACCGGCCCTTCTCCCGCTCCGGCATCATGTCCAAACACCGTGCCTGGGCCATGGTGGGTATGGTCTGGGGCTTCTCCTTCTTCCTAGGACTCCTTCCCCTCCTGGGCCTTGGGGAATACAGCCTGCAGTACCCCAGTTCCTGGTGCTTCATCACCCTGCTGCATGACATCAAGAACAAGGTCTTCTGCATGATCTTTGCCTTGCTGGGTATCCTCTCTGTGGGCCTGTCCTTCATCTTCAACACAGTCAGTGTGGTGACGCTCTGCCGGGTCTACCATGACCGCGAGTCTGCACAGAGACGGCGAGACAGCGAGGTGGAGATGATGGTGCAGCTGGTGGGCATCATGGTCATCGCCACTGTCTGCTGGTTACCCCTGCTGGTAAGGACATCATTCCGGCTCCTCCTCTGGTTCCACCTCCTGTGCTTTCCTGTCCTGGGAGCCAGCCTCATGCAGGCTCTAATAGGCCAGAGCTCCTGTTCTGCCTCTGAGAGCAGCTGCTCCAGGAGGAGGAATAAGGACCCCCACTGTATGGGCCTGGCATGCAGAACCAGCCCAGGAGTGGTATTTATTTCTCACTGGCTTGGGCCCTGGCTCATCTCTTCTGCAGTAGCACTCTCCCCAGCTCTCCTTTATCCTGGCAGCCTGGAACCCCCCACAATCCTTGGGCTTAAGTGACCCCTCCCCATCAGCAAGTTCCCAAAATGAGGGTCAGGGGCGAGGGGGGAGGCAGGTGTCACCCCAGAGGATCAGGCAGAGATCTGAGTCTCTGCACGCCAGGATAAGTTAGAAGAATGTGCCTGGGTTTCCTAACAGCGGCTCTGGGCTGTGACTAGGGAAGGGGCCTGTTTGGTGCCAAGAAATTTCCTCCTTCATCTCCTGCCTAAGTGTCAGTGTGGGTGGCTCACAGCACGCTCTAGTTCTTCTCCTTCCAAAAGCTCTTGGGCAGCTGCACACAGCTGGACGAAGACCACAGTGTGCCCACCTGCACTCTCACATGGGCACAGTGCCAGGGGCCTGCCATGCAGAGACCCAGCCCTGGGCTCTGCACATGGAGCACCCAACAGGGCCTGGCATTGTGTACACAAATCATTGCAAGCAGCTGTGATCCCAGCCCATCCTCTGACAGGGAGGACCCCTCAGTAGCCACCAATGCTGAGACACACCATGCAAGCCACCGAGCCCGGAGCTTGATGGCCAGGCAGGGAGAGCACACCCAGAGGCTGGGGGCTCCTGCCTGGGTTCCCTGCTTTGAGGGATCCACTGCCTCACCTTCCCCACCTGTAAAATGAGAGAAACAGCCCTTACTGCAGTGTTGTGAGGACTAAAAAGGGTTAATGACCTACACACACACATGCACGCATACACACACACATATGTATGCATGCAGCATGGAAAAGGTTTCTAGCAGAATATGAATAAACCTGGAAGTCAGGATTGCAGGGGTCTGTCCCTGCCTTTGGGAAGTGAGCGGTGTCGAGTGGTCACAGCCAAGAGGAATGGGAGGCAGGACGCCTGGGTTCTCTTTTGGCTGGCTTGCCCCAGGAACATGAGCAGTCATGGCTGCTCTCTGTGCCTCAGTTTCTCCCCTTGGTACAAGGGGGCTAATTGTATTTCCTGACCTTCCCTGGAGGTAGAGAGGACAAGCTGCCAATGCAAATACACCCCTGGCAAATGCAGCAGAGACATGGCCTCAGCATTATCCTCTGAACGCAATCACTGGGTCACAAATGCATTGACCTGAGAAACAATCCCAGTCTAGAGTCTTCCCCCTCCCAGGGCTGGGGCTCCTCTGGCTCTGCCTGTCCTGCCAGGCCTGCTGGCATGAAGGCTTGGCAGCAACAGCTTTGGTGTAAGGCCTTAATGCTTTATTTCATGATTTGGTCAAAGCAGACAAGCAGCCTCCCCATCTGGGCCTCATTAAGTAGCTCACTAAGAGCCACTAATGAGGGAGCATCAGTGCTTATGGAGTGATATGAATTATAGATGCCACAGGGAGGCACCGGGCTGGCTTCTCACACACACAGCTCTGCTGATGCCCCTCAGTCCTGAACCAGACCCTCATTTCTGCTCCCCACACCCATTCTCCGCTAACCACACAGCCCATTACCCTGGCACCCCACACTGCAGTGCCCTCAGCCCCAACCGGCACCACCGAGGCTCTTGCCAGTTCCTGCAGACTTCCTCCTGCCCAGCCTCCCACCAGCTCCCATGACCCTGGCCTTTCAGGCCTTCTCTCCCCACTTCTCTCAGGTCACATTTGACAGCTCTCCTGCTCTGGCTTTGCCCCCCAAGTCCTGCTGCCTCAGTTACTCTGTCCCCATGCCTAGCCTTCCCCTCCTGCTCTTGGCCCTGCACTCATCTGGCTGTCACCCTCTCCCATCCTACCCAGTCAAGCTCCTCTTTCCCCATCCCCTGCCCTAAAAGCCCCTGCTCCATCCTGCTTCCCCCAGCCCAGCTTCACCTGAGCACTCGCTCGCCCCCACCCTGCCTTTCCCTCTCTACTCTCCTGTCCAGGGCTGCATCCTGCATGAATTGTCCCCACTGCACTCACCCAGCCTTGGTGCAAATCTACTCATCCTTCCCCATCAGCTTCACACCCGGTTGTCTTGCTCCCGCTCCTTTGCCCCAGCTGGGCTGGCAGTGGGAGCCTCAGCCCAGCTGTGCCCCTCCCTTGCCCAGTACAGCTACACTCCCAGGCCCCAAGCCACGTCACACTACATCTTCTCAGCACCCCACCAGGCTGCTTCCTGGCACTCCTCTGGGGCCTGGTTTTCAAATTTGGGACAAAAGTCCTACTTCAGGCAGTGCTGGTGGTGCCAGGGCCAAGGACTGTCCTGGATGACTAGCCCTGCCCAGCCCCTCTTTCCCCCCACACCTGCTGTCTGCATCTTCTGTGCTAACCTCTTCCCCTGCCCCCAGATCTTCATCATCCAGACTGTCCTGCAGGAGCCACCCACAGGGCTCCTACCCCGGCAGATCCCGCGGAAGACCGAGAACCTGCTGCTGATCTACCTGCGCATGGTCACCTGGAACCAGATCCTGGACCCCTGGGTCTATATCCTCTTCCGCCGGGCTGTCCTGAAACGCATCTACCCCAGCTTCAACTCCAGGCAGTCCATCGTCTCGCTCTACCCTGTGTTCAACCCCTCACTGCGGCGCAAGTTCACCCAGGAGTCTGTAGAGCAGTAGCTGGGGGTGGTGGTAAAGGGGCTTCCGGGAGCCTGAGGTCAATGGGGTGATGTCGGGGCAGCCTCTAGGATCCTCCCCCTCGAGGCATCGTAGCAGCCTGCTGGGAGGTAGGAGTGGGGAGGAGGGGGCACTGCCCCAGTCTTGGACCAGGAATGCTATTGTCTGCCTCCCCTTCTGGGCCTGGCCTGCTCAGCAGCAGGACAAGGGATGGGGACAAGCTTCCTTCCTGACCCCTGCTGGGAGCATGGGGCCTTAGGGCTAGTGGAACTGGGCTCCGAGTAGCCTCATCCCAGATGCTGCTGCACTCACAACCCATGGCGGCCCTCAGCTGCCAGCACTGGCGTCTCTGAGATGCACGTGCCTCCTCACCTCTGGCCTCCAGTGGTTCCCACACTCCTGGCTGGACTGTTTGACCAGAACAAAGCTCATTTAACCCCCACACTCGCATCCCAGTTCTTCAGTCAGGAGCCCCAGCTGCATCCTTCCCTTATTTCTGTTTGACAGAGGATCATGCTCCATGAGCCACTCTCTCTCCCCCACTACCAGTAGAGGGGATGGGACTGGTGGGCCTGGAACTGCCTGCCCAGGGACTGGCTTGCAGCACAGACAGGGGCTTCAGCTACTTGGAGCAGAGCCCACCCCCCATGGCCTGCAGTGGGGTGGGGAGATTGCACTGTGGGCACAGTTGTAGGACGATGAGGATGGAGCTTGCCATTGACACAAGCCACATGCATGCTCATGACAGTAATAAAGTCTTGGCTTCTCCTTCTTGGTGTGCCTGTGTCCTTTCTTGGGTAAAGCTGCACTGAGTGTCCCTGCTGGGCTCAGGGGCGCTGGCTGGGAAAGAGGTGAATTTTAGAGCCTGGGGGTGGGCGGAAGGGACAGTTAAGCCCTGGCCTCCACCTGCTCCGTATGCAAGAGCCTCTGCCTGCTCCATACATGTAAGAGCAGGGGTGGGCAATTATTTTGGGTGGAGGGCCGCTTACTGAGTTTTGGCTAGCCATCGAGGGCCGCATGATAGACAGCCAGGGGCAGATAAATATTAATTTTCTAAATTTTTTAGGGGCCCCATGGACTGGATAGAATGGCCTGGCAGGCCACATCTGGCCCCTGGGCCACATTTTGCCCACCCCTGTGCAAGAGCCTCCACCAGGCCCCTTATCACTCCTACAGTCTGAGGAAATGCAAGGCTGCTGCCTTTGGCCCACCATGTCTTTGGATCCCTGGGGTGCCCACAAGTCCCTTTTGCCAGCATTTCCCCACTGCTGAATCAGAGTTGGTTTTCTCCCACAATCACATGACTCCAGGAGCTGGGGCTTCAAGGGAGGCCCTAAAGTAATGTGAGGCCTGCTGTGAGATCATGAGATATTGTTGGAGCTCCAAGGCTCCTGCACCCTTTGGCTTGAGGGCAGAGATTGCTGCCAGGCAGCACCTTGGAGCATGCTGTGCTTCCCGGCAGGGGCAGGGGCAGGGGCAGGGGCAGGGGCAAGGAAAGCAAGCAGGACTCTCCTGAAGCTCAAAGAACACAAGCTGCCCAGCTCTCCATGCCCATATCAAAAAAGAAATATAGGTTGTATAAGCTGCCCAGCTCTCCACTGCCCGTGGGCAAGAAGCCCGAGTGTCAGTACCTTTCCCACCCAGCCACCCCCGGCCATGACTGGTGGGTCCTTTGATCCATCTCCCAGCTCTGCTCCCACTGCCCGAACACCAGACACCATCAGCCTGTGACAGAGGCCTTTATTCCCCTTCTGCACTGCCCAGGCAGAAGGCACAGCCCAGCCCCAAGGGCGCCCCTGCCATCTGCATGCACTCAGTGCCCCAGCCCTACCCTGCTTGATCCTCCCCCTCCTCCCTGCCAGCCCAGGGAAGAACTAGGGCTCAGAGGGAAGGGACTCGTGCAATGACAGAGTCATGCAACCGCCTGCAGCAAAGGGGCCATGCAGCGATGGTCCTGCTTCAGCTAGCTCCTGAGCCCGCACAGTGTGGGCTCTTCTTCTCCCTCACTGGCTTTGGGGAGGAGTCCTGAGGGCAAGGGTGAGCCCCATGCCCATCCCCATGACAGCCCCCCCCACTGCTGGCCCTGGTGGGCTTCTACCTGACCACCCTGTGGAGACCCCAGCCCAGCTGTGGGAATACATGGGGAAGAGGGAGGCAGTGACACCACCGTGGCTCCACATTATCCTTTCAGAACATGATGCCCACTGGCTCCCTGGGTGCAGGAGGGGGCCCAGGCTGTGCAGGGCCCCTGGCTGCTGAGCAATGACAGCATGCACCACAGCCTGAGCTCTGCAGGGAACAGGCCCCTGGGGTCCAGGGCGCAGGCCGAAGACTGCCCAGAGGGAAACCTCATGAGCTGAGCCCCTGCCCCCCTGCTTGGAGTGGAAGACAGGGGAGACACATCAGGGATGGGAGCTGGGGGAGGAAGACCCAACGGCATTGGGGAAGGTGGGGAGACGCAGGACAAGTGCTCACAGCACCATGCTACTTCCTGCCCGCCTTGGCTTCACTGATGGCTGCCCAGACATCAGCCACGAAGTCGTCAGGGAAGGCAAACTCGCCCAGCACCGAGTCCAAGCCCTTGGCAAATTCCTCAGGGCTCGGTCGCTCCTTCGCCGTCTCCACCATGGTCGAAGCTGCAGAGAGAGGCAGAGAGCTCAGCAGGGGCTGGGGCCAGGGCTGGAGCCAGGGCTGGGGCTCTTGACCTGGGGTGTGGGGGTGCCCCTTGAGCCAGGGAGGGGGCTGGGCCTGGGATTCTTCACATGCTTCTTTGAGTCTCGCTGTGTGTAGACAAAAGGGAACATGGAGCGGGACTCAGACAACCTGGAGCTCAGCTCCTGTTCCAGCCCAGCCCCTTGGGACCAAGCTCCAGCACACCCTTTGCAATGAGCTGGTTTCTCCTCCTTCCTGCCACCTGGGCACAGTGCTACTGACCTCAGGAGGCAGGGCTCAGCACCCTTGCAGGGGTCCAGCTCTGAACAGCTTCCCATGGGCCTGGGTCCCCGCCACCAACCCAGCACCAGGGACCCAGACCTTCCCACAGACCCAGGGTGGCAGCTTCCCAGCAAAGGGCTCAGCCCTGAGAGCAGCTGGAGGGAGCACAAAGGGCAGACCTGTGCTGTTCCCCCTCCCCTTCCCTCCCACCATCCCCCCCAACACCCTGTCACATTCACCCAAATCTGAGTCCCGGATGCCCATGTAGCTCTCCAGCAGGTCGTCCACCTTCTGGGCAGCCTCCTCCTCGAACTCGCTGGGCTGTGGGCAGGAGGCTGGGTTAGGCACCACAGAGCTGCTATTTGCACCACAACATTGGCCTCTAAGCCCTTTGTCCCCTCCTCTCCATGGGGAGCTGGTTCCAAGAGGCCCATTAGTGATGGGTCCAGGGCTCGCAAGTCATGGGCCGCACAGGGTGTATCCCAGGGAGCTGTGGCTAACAGGCCATCCAGGATCAGGGCCCCATCCCACCTCAGGGCACAAGGGAGAAGAGCCAGCAAGGCCTGAGTGATGCTGAGCCTTGGCCAGGTTGATTGATTGCTATGCCGCAAGGAGAGATGCTCCTGCTTCCTGCTGGTTTCTGCTTGTCCTCAGGAAGCAAAAGTCCCCCCAGGCCCAGAAGACCAATCCCACATTTTGCCCCAGGGGGATCAGGGCCCCTGCAGCTGCTTGTACCTCTGCAATGCCACAGCCCTAAATTCACTCCCCCACAGACAGAAGGCTGGCCAGACCTGGGCCCTTGGCACCACAGTGTCTCTATAGGTCACCTTCACCCGGGCCTTCTTAGCTTCACTGCAGCTTATGGGACCTGCTTATGGGCCAACATGTATGACACGTGCCACATGTGTGTGCATTTGTGTCCATGCAGGACTGGGCACAAGTGCCTGCGTAGCAAAACATGCTCGCACACGACTGGCCATGACCATCCCCAGGAGGTGTGCAGTTGGGTGTGCTTGGGGCACCATGCACATGTGCGGCTGTGAGGGTACGTGAGTGTGTGTACTCACACTAGTGTCTTCACCGGCACCTGGGCTTGTCTAAAGGTGTGGTGAAGAATGTGGCAACTTAAACTTACCCAGCACCGGGGAGTGGGAAGCTCTGTTGAAATGGCTAGAAGGCTGTGACAGCAGCAGCTATGCCTGCAGCTCCAGCTCCAGAAGTAGCAGCTCCAGTGAGACCAACGACAGTTTATGCAGCATCTTCTGGAACAGAGGTTGGCAAGTCCCTCCACTTCCAGACAGGGAGAGTGGAGTACTCTTGAAGATGGGGCCGGCAGATGACCCAGAGGCCTTCTTAGAGACCTGGAAGCAGGTGGCACAGCCCGCTGCTGCCTTGGACCTTCTAGACATTTTAATAGAGCTCCTGAGTCCATGGTACTGGGTAAGTTTAAACCACTGCTTCTCCACCACACTTCCTGACAGGGTCCTTCTACTGCCTGCCAGTGCCAGAGCTGCTACCCCACACCACTCCCACCCCAGACACCTGGGTCCTGCTCCCTGTGACCTGCTGTTCCACAATTTCCCTTCAAGCAGGCAGCAGCCAGCAGCCAGCAACCTGCCTGTCCAGGCCTGAGCAAGCAGAGGCTCTGGTGACGGCCCCTTTCTTGGCAGAGGGAGGCAGCCCATAGTGGGGACCAGAAGCGCAAGCTGGGGGTGTTCCTCACCCTTGCTCCTGGCACGCTTGCCCATCCATCCCGCTGCGCTCTGCCCTGTTCCTGTCCCATGGGCAGCGTTTCACTTACCAGCTCCTCCAGGGTGGCAGTGCCCTTTGTGCGGAGTCGCAGCGTTTCCTTCCCACTGGTCACCCTGCCTTCGCCTGGGCACTTGCTGCTCTTCGTCCTCTGACCAATCATATCTGGCAACACAGATTGGGGGGGTTAGAAAGAGGGGAGATATGGGGCAGGTTCCTGCCATCCCCCACACCCCCCCAGGGATCATAGAGGCAGAGGGAGGTGCAGTCAACCCCCAGGGGCAGCAGAGGCAGCTCTGCAGGGGCACCTTGACAGAGGCCAATGCCAGCTCTGGGCAGAGGGACCCTGGGTGAGATTAGTTTTGGGGTTTCGGCTGCAGTGACCCTACCCACAAACCTATACACAGAGCCCCAGTCCGTGGGAAGCTGGTGGGGTTTAGGGGTGGATTAGGCCTCTCAGGGTCTATTAGGTATGGGTGGGGGATAGAGGCGGCACAGAAATAGGCTGTTAACTGGCAATAGGGGCAGATCTAAGGGTGTGGGGGTGCAGGTGCAGCCCCCTTCCACCGTGTTGCACCCTGAGCTCTCTGGGCTATGCAATTGCTGTGGGAGGTGGGGCTGGGGCAGAGTCCAGCACCTGCACAGATGCTCCCCACAGCCCCAGCTGGAGCAAGTCAGGAACAGCCTTGGGGCCTCTCCATTTCCTCATGCCCTTGCCCAGGTCAGCCAGGAACAACACCAGTGCCAGGCAAGTCCCCCTTCCCATGCCTCCCTGGGCCTGCTGGTATGTGCAGGCGGGTTGTGTGCAGGAGAGGGGCAGGCGTGGAGGGGAGCCGTGTGTGCACAGAAGGGCTTCCAGGGATGGAGGGGGGTGGAGGGAGGTGTGCGTGCAGGACGGACTGGGGGGTGTAGAAAGGAGGCACAGTGGTGGGGGGAAGGTTAGAGGTTAGAGGTGCTCTAGGCAGCTGGGAAGTGTTAAGCCCTGACGCGAGGCTTGGGTGGGCATCACAGACGTGGCTGTTCAGGAGGGCTTCCTGCCTGGGGATTCAATCTGGGTCTGGATGAATGAGCTCCGTGCCCCCTTCCCCTAGTGAATGGAGCTAAGAGCCCCTGGGCACCCCATGGCCAGCATCCCAGGGAGGCCAACAGCCAGTTAAGGGCCAGGCCTGGGCCGATCCCTGCTGCATGGACCAGGAGCACCTCCTGGTGGACACCGCGGGCATCTCGAGCAGACAGACAGACAGTCCTGCTGTAGGAGCAAGGGGTAGCTGGCGGCCAAGGGGAGAGCCAGAAGCCCCAAGGTGATGTGGCCTGTGGTGCTGTGGCCACAAAAGCCACAATCCCAATCATGCATGTGCATGTGTGAGGGCAGTGACCTCTGAACATCCCAAGCAGCACTGCCTGGCCGGGGACCTTGGGGGTGGGTGAGCTGGGGCAGGCTGCTACCCAGGGCCCCAGGCTGGCAAGGGAGTGCCCTGAGAAAATGCCCCTCTCCTTTCCACACACACCCCAGTGACCTCTATGGCAGACCAGCCTCACCCTTGCTCTCCGTGGAGTGCCAGGATCCAGCGGGACAGGACAGGAGGGGGCAGACGAGGTCCATCTGCCACTGCTGGCTCTACAGGCCAGGGGGAAGGAGCGAGGGGATTGCAGGGGCTGAAGCAGGACTGGCATGACCCCCATCCCTTGGCTAACTCTGTGTGACCCCGCTATCTCCATGGAGCAGCTGCATCCTCCCACCCTGCAGACCTGGTTTCCACCAGCTACATCAGCAACCCCAGACAGGGCTCCTGGGAGGCATAACATGCCCTTGGGCTCCCAGGCTCCCTCGCTGATTCAGCTTCCAGAAGCATGACAGCGCCTCGCTGGCCAGCTGACTACAACGTTCCTGCCCTGTGAACCCAGCTGTACCATGGGCTGTCACCCATGCTACACATGAGGGCCCTGGCACCAAAGAGCTGCTGCAGAGAGCTCAGCTGAAAGGAACAGGGAGACACACAGCCAAGCTCATGCTGCCTCTGTCCTGCTGCCCAGCAGAGCTCTGCTCTGGAGGGGCTGGGGCTGGGCAAGCAAGAGAGCTTGCAGGGCAGGAGCAGTGACCAAGCTGTATAGGATGCGTGCACAGGACTGGGACCAGCAATTTGGGGTCAGGTCTCATCTCAGTCATAGCTCCATGATGCAGGGGCAGCCACACCCTCCCTGTTGGTCCTCCTGACAACAAGGGATCCCCATTCCTCTGCTTCTTGGGTTATTGAGACACTGCAGGAGTGCTGGGTTGGACGCATAGACAGAGCTACAGCACCGCACAATAGTGCCATCACTCCCGACCTGCATCCCCATGCTGTCCCACCCTGGGTCTCCCCTGAACTGAGACTTCCAGCAGCTCCAAAAGCTGGTTCTGTGTTCAGGGCAAACATGACACACTCAGATGTTTTGACCCCATTGCCTGAAGCTCAAGGCTGGCACACCAGCCCTCTGCTCACCCTGTCTGGATTAATGCTAGAGGCAGTGTGCTCATTGCTTTCCTGTCTAGGATGCTGGGAACTGCCTCTGGGGGATCTCTCCAGCAAGTGGAGGGGCAGGGGAAACACCATGTATCTGGGTCCATATAGACAGTTTTCCTTCAGTGCCTGGGGGATAACTTCTCTTCTGGCGTGGTTTAGTACCCGCCGAGGTATTGGGGCTTTAAGTCCACTTTATGGAAATGGAAGGCTCCTCCCTAGCTTGCTCCTGCGGCCATATAGCTGAGGGCAAGCAATATTTGGGGGCATCTGAAGCCAAGCCTCCGGGCTTGAGCCTGCACATAGAGTGCCTGCCAAAAGACGTTGGAGACATGTGAAGCCCCTGGTGGGGGTGGAGGATGTTTGCTGGTTGTAGGGCCACTTATGATTCTGGACTGACTCGTGGATTTTGACTCGATTTGGCTCATTTGGCTTGGAACACAAAAAAATTCTTTAAAAAAAAAAAGCTGCAGGGGAGGGCACTCACCAAATGCCTTTTTGGGCTGCACCAGCCTGAGGGTGAAGGTCTGGGACCTGGGCAGCTCCCTCAGCATCTTGGCAACTTCGTAATGGCGGCAGCCCACAATGGTCTGGTCGTTGATGGCCTCGATGCTGTCGCCCACACACACGGTCTTGATGCGGTTGATGATGCTCCCTTCTTTTATCCTCTAGAGGGAAGCAGAGACTCAGCAGATCAGTGATACCAAGGCCCAGAGCTGGGCAGAGGAGGCTGGGCACAAGCAGGCAAACAGAGGACGCGGGGACTGCTCCTGCACTTGGGGCCAAGCACTCTCCCATAGGCAGCCACTTCTGGGGTGGGACACGGCAGCACACAGCAACGCTGCACAAACCAGAGGAAAAACTCAGAACTCAGTGGGAATTTGGGGGAGAAGGAGTGTGATTCTATCAGTCGGCCTGTGGCCAGGACACAGAGCCATGGGGCAGTGCCAGGGCGCCTCTTATCTGGACCCCCTCATAAAGGGAACTGCTCCAGCAGCACTGCCCCCCCACCTGCCAGCGCTGGGGCTGTGCAGACAAGAAGTGTGAGCCCCTGAAACCCACCAACTTGCTCCCAGTATCCTTGGGGGAATCTCCCATCCCAGTTTGGGGTGGTTGGACTCAGCTTGAGACACCAGCCCAAATCCAGACTTGGGCCTCGCAGGCATGATGAGGGCTGATCCCTTTGTGGGACACGACAGTCTGGGGTGGGGGCTGGGGCTCTGCCATGCTCCTAGCTCCATTCCCAGCACTCCAGCTTCCTCCTGCTGGACCCTCCTCGGCCCATTTGCAGCAGGGCTGAACACGGGCAAGGGCAAACCAGGCGGCCGCCCAGGGCCCAGACAGAAAGGGGACCCAAAATGGTAATTTTTTTATTATTATTGTCATTATCTCTGGCGAAGGAGGGCCTGATACTGAAAGTTTGCTCGGGGCTGCCCAGAGTCTAGGTATGATGCTGACTTGCAGACAGAGACATCCCAGCAAGGGATCTGTGGGCACTGGGGAGTTTCCACACTGCTTTTTTTGTTCAGCCGCAGGGCAATGCCTGAGCAAGGGTGTGTAACCACAGACCTCAGCATCTAACCCTTCCCCACTGGTGCCAGAGAGGAGCGGCTGCCTAAACTAGGGCTTCTGGTGCATACAGCATTAAGCGGGGTTGGAGTCCCGGTTTCAGGGCAAATCAAAACACAGGCAAAGTTTTTCAAAATTTCCAGCCAGCTGGATGCTCCCCAGCCCTGCACCCAGCTGCTCTGCAGTGTGAGACTGGTACCAGCAGGGACCGAGGAGAGGCTGGGTTTCACTTGGTGGCTGCGAGGTGAGGCAGAGCCCCAGCACTGAGACAGCCCTGCCAGGGGATGGGGACTCGGCAGCCTCCAGCATCCCAGCCCTGGGGCTTCGCCTGCCGCATTGCTCCATTACATCTCGTTTCTTCTCTGAGCAGCCCCTGCTCTGTGCGGGTGCCTCTGAGCAGCACAGCCCTCTGCCCGCCCTGTAGATGCCAAACACGAGCCCAGCTCTGCAACAGGCTCCCCAGGAGCAAAGGGGACTTCCTGGGTAAAGCTCGGGCTGGGAGAAGCAGTGCAGCTTGGCCCCCAAGGGTCTACTTGGCCCTGCCAGATGGACCTGGGCCAGCAGCTGTGGGAAGGAGAGAACCGGGCCCCCAGGAATGGCTGGAGGCTCTTGCCAGGCCTTCCCTCCTTCTATGCCTTGTCCAAGACCTCTCCTGTCCA